TCCCCACCATAGACACCTGCGGTCCAGAGTTTTGCAAATATCTCAGCAACGTTGTGGTTGTATTTCATTTAGTACCCTGCCGCGAAATTATAGTAGGCAGAAAATAAAAAAAAAGGTATAACATTATGTGAGATACTTAAAATTCTGTCGTTACCATCCGAATCGCTTTCGTTAGAAGTATAGCGTTGTCTAAAACACAAAGTTCGAAATCAGAACTGACGTCCGTTTACACAATCATCCACTGAAAATGTATCCGCGGGTTTCCGCCGATTCATTAGCAAATCGACGGAATTTTTGGAGTAACGCAGTAAGAACCGACATTTTCCGTCTTCGGCATTCGGAATTATTCCTTCAGGTTCCTTCAGCGATTCCAGACATTATTTTATCTCTTTTTATAACTATACCGCATTCTTCCTAATTGTCTATTGCATTTTTCGCCTATCCAGTTATAATCTTAACCTTTTTATTTGCTGCCTACCATAATTTTTAACGGCAGGGTATTATTAGGTGAAATACAGCTAAGATGATGCTGAGATCGGTGTCTGCGGTGGGGAACGAGCGTGCTATTGCCCTTTCCGGGAAGTAACGCCATCACCACCACGCCACCCTCCACGTAGCTTCGCGACTAACCGGCTCGAGATCCCTCACCCTCATGGTGTGGTAGTGAACGCGTTACTCCCCGGAAAGGACAATAGCGCGTTCTTTCTCCACCGCAGACACCTGCGCTCCGGAGTTTTGCAAATATGAGACCATCATCTTAGTTGTATCCAGTTATAACTGGCACGAAATCGATATCTGGTCGAGGCTTACGAGTTGCTACATTCCGAACTTTTGTGGGTCAATATCTTCTTAGTCTGGAAACAGGCTTCAAGCGCTTATCAGGGAAGACCAAAGAGCCATTTTCTGAAAGAAACTGCGACATAGTATTCATCGACTTGTTCAAGAGAGTATTCTGGAGTCAGCACTAGGAAGAAAAATAGAGGAGTAACGTCTTCAACATGGAAATGTTCCGCTTCTTGTTCTGCTCAAAGACCGACTAATCGAATTTTGATGTCGAAAGATGAGTTCAATAAGAAAGAGATTCCATACAATCCTTTATCAATTCATAACGCCTGAATTAAATTCTCCTTTCCTAATAAAACTACACCAGCATCAATCCGTAGGTTTTCGAGCTACAGTTAGAAATTTGAGGCCTAAAACAGTTCTACGACTAGGCGGTATTCGAATAAGCCCTACTTGCAACTGTTATTACGTCATAACTACAAATTGGAAGGATACACTAAGTAGGGAAGTTTTAAGAACGACGTTTTTCACAAAAAAGGCAATCGCAGTAACCTGCATGGCCACTTACCACCACTTATGATCATCGTATAGAATGAACTCGATTTTGAACAGAATGTAGCTGTATGCGCCAGATCCAAGCACGTTCGAGAGTCGTTAAGATCTACTGGTAAATACCATATACACCAGCCGTTCTAACTTTCGTTGATTACAAGGAGGCATCCCATAATGCATGGATCAACACCATACAGTTTGTCTCAATTGACCAAAGCATAGACACATTCTGAATGAAAACCTTAGTAGCTGCAATGGTCATTGTGTAACGACTTTTCTTTCACCATTGTATAAAGAAATTCGATGGAAAGCACAGTATCGCCGGAGATGTTAATTATCTCGTTGCAATCATAACCTTTTTATTTACTACCTATTCTTTTTAATGGCAATGTATGTTGCGAAATATAACTTGTATATTCTGAGATATTTGCAAAACTCCGGACCGAAGGTGTATGCGGTGGGGAACGAACGCGCTATTGTCCTTTCCGGGGAGTAACGCGTTCACCACCACACCATGCGGGTCCTTCGTTTCGCCTTTCTCTCAGCTAGTTCTAGTGGGATTGATCTGGGGAGCCCAAACCGGCATTGAACCCAATTAAGCTGAGACCATATAATCACAATCTTAACCTTTTTATTTACTGTCTATTCTTTTTAATGGAAGAGTATGTTGCTAAATATACTTGTATTTTGACGTTGACGGGTGATTGCTGATGGCAAGTGATCGATAGAAATAGCCGAGAGACAGACGAAACGAAGGACCCACGTGGTGTGGTGGTGAACGCATTACTCCGCGGAAAGAACAATAGCGCGTTCGTTCCCCACCGCAGACACCTCCAGCCCGGAGTTTTGCAAATATCTCAGCATTATTATAAGTTATATCGCGTTACAGTAGTGTATGCATGCACTCGAATGGGCCAAAAAAGGATACGTTTTGATGGACGATTCCTTTCAACCTTTCTTTTCACGTGGGTCGTTGTCATATTTTCGGACAGTATCGTAGAAGCAGAGCGATACTTGCCAAATTCTGTGAAAGAGGAGAAAAGTAGGAAGATCAATCAGAAGGAAACTAAATTAATGATGAACGCGTGGTTTAAAGCATAAAAAAGTATGCATGGGCCACCAATTGAGGAGAGCACGTACTACTTTTACTTGTGATTTTCAATGAATATGGGTTTAAAAAAACTCACTGGAAGTTCTGCGCTATTCAGCAGAAACTTGGGATGATAGTTCAACCCTTTAGAAAAGTCGATTATAATAAATGATATTTTCGAATAAAGTTTGTTTCCAGAGAATCAGAACTGCCTCGATTAAGGTCTCGAAACGGATGAAGTGACGTAGTCTCTGAACACAAGAACTAGATGTATTCAATGTTGGCAGCTGCTTCCAATTTACCAAGCCACAATGAAATTAATGCACATATTTGACCACCACAGAGCGTGGCGGTTGTAAGGGAACGAGAATAAATAGGCCGTCTAAGTATCTGAGCAAACACCTACTGAAGGTGTTCCACAGTAACCGATTGTGATGTAAAGCGTTTATTTTATGCATGTTTACGTTAACTGAGAAGAATTCTAGAATGTTTATCCTGGAGCCAATCTGAAAAAGGGAGGAACCACTAGAATTCTAGAATATCATAGCAAACTCCCTCTAATCCCGCAGAGGGCGGCGCAAGGAACCAGGTGCACACAGGTTTCTCTAGAATCCAGTGAAGAGATTCGGTTAAACACTCAGCGTTCTCGCTTATGGAAACAGTGCTAGTTCTTGGTAAACAAATTGTGTGCAATTAGTCTTGTTTCGTGGACCGCGGACGAAGTCTGCTTGGCAATGGTTTGGCTGCACGAATTCGCACTATAAGCTAACAACAACAACAACAGCAGCTACAATAGTGAGCATATCTTTTGGTAACATACACCATTTGGGAGAACGGCATATAAATGGCCTTAAGTGTTTCAAGCTAGAAGTGATCACTCAAAGACAAAGTATGAGTTTGATAAGTTTTACACGTGGAAGGGGGCCGATACCATTCGAAATTAATCAGAATGATTAAAGGAACTCCAAAAATGGATGACTCGGGTTGAATACACTGTCAAAAACTCAGTTTATTCAAGAAGGTCCAAAAACTCCAAAGACCTGTGCAACATAAACTCATGAATACATGAGCGCTGACATCATTAATTCCTTTACCACCTGAATAAACAAACGTTTTAAAAAGTGTAAGCTCTATTACGTAGTCCTCCATTACGGCAAGCGTCAGTCTGTTCCTAAATTTTTTTCTGCGAGTATATAAGGAAGTTTTTACAGAAGGTCTACAGCGACTTCGAGCTACAGGGCATTGACGAAGAAAAGTTAAACGGGAAGATCTACCAGTCGATCAGTCGAAGGCTACAGCTGGAAGAAGCCAATGTGGCACTGCACGATCACTGTAAATTTTATGTATTGTATCAAAATTAATTAGCTACTAAATTCCTATATTTTGTCCACATATTCCATATGATAACATCGAAAGCATTTGCCAGCTCAGATCTGCTTTTAGATATTGCCGTGCAACTAAAAAATTTTAAAAATTTCGATATTTAGCTAAACAGTATTTTAGCGTTCATAAAATGAGTTAATAGAAATGTCTTAGGTAACGGACACACGCAATCAGTCTTTCCATCGTCGCTGGGTAACGCCTCTGCCGCAGTCTCGAACGTATCCAGTATGGTCGAGGGTGCTGGCGCTAAAGTATTCTCATTCTTTAAATAATCTACCTTTTCTGTGCAGACCGTTTTAAGGTTTTGATACCGAATCTAAGTTATTACTTACTTTCGTCAGGGTCCCATAGCATACAGTGTTCATCTCGTAGTCTTTTTCACTAGATTCTCATGTTTATGACTTCATTCGTTTCTTGCTACTAAAATTCTCAGTCTTTCTATATTTTTAGCCTATTTTACACTAGGATATTGCAGTTATGTGTAAAAATTGCTTTACGGTTATCGATTGGTTTTAGTGGAAAACGTTGTAGTTCATATGTTCATCAAAAATGTGGTGTAGATGTTAGGCTAAGTTTCCCAATGAGATATTGTTGAAGTGATTATTTTCATTCCCATTTTCGTAGTTTTACTGGATGCGACAATTTTTCCAACAAAACCGGGTTCCATTTCCCATGCAGAACCTCTCAGAGTTTTTGAACGATAATAGAGCCTCAGTGATTGTTTCGCTTTATAGAATGTGATGATCTAGGATGCAAATACATTATTATCAATTTGTTAGTAGAACAACACAGACTAGAGGGTCGTGTTTTCCTCATAGGACCCAACTTTATCACACCATTTCTCGTGACTGACATGTAAATTATAATTTCGCAATACTATGTATATTTGAGTCAGCAGCTCGATTACTTCTGCTTTAAAAACATTCTTCACTTATTCCTTGATTTCCTTGATCGTGTGGATTTGCCTTCCAGTGAAACTAAATTTTTATTAAACTGTTATAAGAATAAATACACGTGTGGTTTCTGTTTCCTTGTTAGGATGAGTTTGCTATAAAAATTCAATCTTAGCAGAACAACTACAGATCTTTACTTCCTCGGCACTTGAAATAATAACGGTACAAATCTATAGCTCATCCGAACCACTATCGCCACTTTATATTACAGTTCTAAGCACTAGTTTTGACTAGACACTAAGTATCGTTACGAAATCTCTACCAGAGTATGTCCCAGTGCGAAACCGCTTCGCAGTACCAGCAGTACCGTTTCTTAAGTTGTCCATACTTCCTGTGAAAATATCGCTTTGCAGTGTGAAAACAACCCAGACATAATCATCACGTATTCGCGCATTTGATAATTTCTGGAGTTCTGCTAGTTTCGTTTTTCCAAAAATCTTCTTGGAGGGTTCGTGAGTTGTTTTCTTTTTTCCATACTCTAATGCTATAATAGCTATAAAATTTCTTACAGTTTTACTTCGTTTTACTCCAATTCTTCCACTTTCTTCGAATTTAATCCATGCCAAATGGGGTTGTTCGCGACGCTTTGCTTTATGCGGCACATCTCAGTCGTTTGGGTGGTTAACGGTTACCTCGATAACAGTTCTTACTTTTGTCAGGGTCCCATAGCATACAGTGTTCATTTCGTAGTCTTTTTCACTAGATTTTCATGTTTATAACTTCATTCGTTTCTTGCTACTAAAACTCTCAGTCTTTCTATATTTTTAGCCTATTTTACACCAGGATTGTGCCGTTGTAACGAGACTCTTTAAGTGCGAATTCCTCAAGCATTACTGAATAACAGCGCTTAACTAATGGGAAACTAGATATAGATTAACTGGGATAGAATGGAGACTGAAAGAACACGTCTTCTGAGCTTTTCTTTTGTACGTGGACCAAAAAGCAGCTGATTCGTAACCACTGGAAGCGGCATTTCCACCACTGACAAATCTGGTACCAGCTCGTAGTCAACACCGAGTTGTGGGAAGTTTTTGTCACAATATCTAAACATAGAGCAGTTAGAGTAATTATGTAAGAGACTTTCCGTTGCTTATGTCCATGCATGCAATGTTGGTAAATATTTTGACGCACACGTTTCGAAATGAGAAGGAATCTGTTCATTTACTAAAGCCGTCTATTTTAAGAAGTTCTCTGGAAGACAAAGTTATGGTTCTTCAATTATGACTGATTAGTATGAGTCGACCACTTCAATGGAGGCTACCAACTTCTGACGTTATCTCTTAGTTCCAGCTCTCACCTGTATCACCTGCATCACTTGTAGTCCCGTCGATCGTCGAGTGACTCGAGCGGGCGCCAGTAAATCTTCCATTTTTCCCTGTCGCGTGCAAGAGTAGCCCAGTGGCTTCAGCTCGCTTGAGGGACCGAGCATCATATCTTTCTTTTAGATTTTTCGTGAAGAACTCTGACCATCGAGTCGGTGACCTTTCTGCAGTTCGTTTAACATCCCGAGGAATCCGGTTACTAACGGCTGATGTTCATCGGTTGTCATTCACACCCATTACGTTACCCGCCCACCTTATCCTCGACTGTTTGACGTACAGAACGGCATCTTTGATTTTTGATCTTTGACGCAAGTCGGAGCTTCGGATCCCATCCCTTGTGTGAAACGGGATGCTCCTAGCATTGCCCTTCTGACTGCGCGTTCGATAACGCTGACTAATCTTTCATCTTGCTTACGCATCGATCAGGTTTCTGACGCATACGTTAGGGTATGAAGTACCGTTGAGTCGAAAAGGTGGGCACGGAGTCGGGAGTTCTCTATTCTCTTCACCACATCCTCGATGCTCTTGAAAGCTCCCCATGCCGCCCGTTTCCTTCTGCTCAATTACAGAGCTAAGTCGTTCATCATACTGATTTCCTGACCTAGATGGACAAAACTGGAGCATTCGGAGATATTCGTTCCGTTGAGAGTGAATGGAGCATGCAAAACCAATCCGCTCTGCACGAACATCGCTTTTGTGAGGTTTAGTCGAAGTGCAATCTGTCCACGGGCTCGTCAAGCATACGTTCTGCCTGGCTAATGTTTGGTGTAATAACGACAATGTCATCAGCATAGAGAAGATGGTGTGATTGCTAACCATCGATTTTCACTCTCATGTTATAACATTCCATTGTTCGCATGACGTTCTGGAGTGCGGGGATAAATAATTTTGGTAAGATGGTGGTAACCTTGCCTAACCCTCTTCTGACGTCAATGTTAATATCGTTGTAGAATGCTGATACATTAGTTACGGAATTTTTGTACAGCTCACGAAGAATCTTTCAGTACTGAGTAGGGACTCCTTGACTATCAAGAGCTTCCAAGACTGCTTCTATCTCAACCGAATCAAAGGTCTTCTGTAAACCGATGAAAGTGAGGCAGAGCAGTCTTTTGTACTCTCGCGATATTTCAATGAGCCTTGTTATCGTGTGGATGTAGTCCATGGTACTAAATCCTTTTCGAAACCCTGTTTGCTCACATGGCTGTCCTTGGTTTAGTGTTCTGCCAATCCTGTTTAGGATGACTCAAGTGAGAATTTGTAAATGGCGGACAGCAAGCAGATTGGGTGATAGCTGCCGATATCGTGTAGGTCACCCTTCTTGAACAACAACACGGTCTTATTTGTCTTCCACTGAGTAGGAACTTTGCATTCAGACAGGAAACGTGTGAGGAGCTAGAGTGCTTACGAAGACTGACGGAAGGTTCTTCAGGTGTTCTGGTCTTATCCCGTCCGGATCTGGTGCTGGTCGATTTTTCACCGACAAAATGGCATGTCGGATTTCGGAAGGGAGAACCGGTGATACCGCGTATTCATCCCCTTTATTTCATACGACGGAAGGTCGACGTGGCTATCGAAGAGATCTGAGCAGTATTCGTGAACGATTTTCTCCATTGCCTTTCTGGACGCTGTAGCTGTTCCCTCTGGGCGTCGGAATGGAATTATCTTGGTCTTGTTTGTAATTGCGAAGCTACTGTGATCTTTGCGAATGCTTTTCCCAGCTCCTGCAACTTTGACCACTACTGCCGCTCTTCTCTTTTTAAGACCTTTTATCGCCTGTCTGCATTGTTTTCCAAGTTCGGAATTTAGCTCGCGGTTGCCTGCAACTGTGCGGTTCCACGCTGGCGTATCTGCTCAAGTGTTTCTGGATACAGACGCCTCATGGTAACTTTTCAACTCTCAGCTTTCATAGCGCTATCGTTAAGATGTTGAATGAGCCGATCGTATCTTCGTCGATGTTATCGACAACGGCATCTTTCCAACAACCGACTAATGAATTGAATAAGCCCCAATTAACGGTGGTTCTGCGACTTCGGTTTTTGAATTTAGTAGCTTTTTCTCCTTTCCGCGAGAAATAGAATCTTGCACGAAAGAGACGATGGTCTGATCGCGTGTGGAATTTTGGGACAACAGCGACATCGGTTAGGTAAAACCTTCTACTCACTATGATGTGATCTGTTTTGTTATGGTACTCTCCATTGGGAGACTCCCATGTCCAGTGCTGAGGGTGGGGCATTTGAAATTGCGAGTTATTATGGATGGTCATGGCCGTCATGATGAATTCAGCGAACCGCTCACTCTGTTCGTTCCATTCTTTTCCGTAGGTCTCAATGTGACTTTCTTCAGACGTTCTTCTTAATCCAGTCTTGGCGTTAAAATGTCCAGTGATGACCTTGAAGAATGTCTGGTCTCCGTAGAACATCTTCAAGTCCATATAGAACACTTCAACTTCTTCTTCGTCATAGTTTGATGTCGGCGCGGAAACGACGAAGATTGTCAAAGCCGGGATTGATCTACATCTTTTTAATCATAAACGTCCGATCCGGGTTGCAAGTTGTTCGAATGAATCGATGTTCATGGACAAACTCGTGTTGGCGACAACACCGACACCACCGACTCCTCTACTGTCGCAAGTTCCAAGGAACTGTTCTCCTGTGTCATAGACGGCGTTGAATGTGTGGCTTGTCTCGTCTCGGCCAGGTCGATGACGTCGTACCTTATCTTTCTTGTTTGCATGATCAAGTTTTCTATCGAGGACTTGGACGCAAGTGTACGTGCATTGTAGGTACAGATCGACAGCATAGTTCTTCGTAATGCAGGCGGCTTCCTTTGGCCCTGAGGTCTTAGCAGCCTAACCGCACTCGTCCTACCCAACGTTGCCGATTTGGGGGCTCCTTCGAGATCAGCGGAATGAGGCGCGTTTCTTTTACTGTTTTTAGCCTTTTTATACCCACGCGTAGCTTGCTGTGCTCTGAACGTGGGGACTGGGTATACTCACGGGTAGCTTACCATGCTCTCCCACAGTGGACATGGACCTATTTGTTGGAGGCAACTTCTAACCACCTCCCACATAGTTTTCTATCACTTGATTGCAGGTTTTTGGCGGAACTGATTCGTTGGAGACAATATGCATAAACTAGAACGCACCCACAAACGCGTGCATGAATTCGCCTCGTATATACAGAAAGTATGTGCCGAATCGGCGCAGCAGAAACAGCGAGTTCATCCCCTGGATCCGCCTTTGTCTCAGGGAAGCAAAGTTCGATTTTGGTTCGCGATTAACCCCCTATCCACGTAACCTCGCGATTAACCGGCTTTCAGGGTACTCATGTCAGGGAGATCCGTGGGTTTCAGCTCTAAGTACAAAATTATGAAGCCTGAATAAGAGATTCTGGATAGACCCCAATTGGGTATATTCTCCTTTCCTATAAGCTGCGGGTGGAATCCATATCATTTGTGCTTCCGGTGTATTTTTCAAAACGAAGAGATAAAAGTGTTTCAGCTATGCGAAAGCCGTGAACGCCCTAGCCAGGCCACCTCTGGCTTGAATGAAAATCACACTGGACCAGCAATTAACATGATGAGAGACTATAGGAGAGCCTCAAGTTGCTACCGAGGCCATTTGCAAGCTCAATTACCCTTGTTGTTGACAGCTGCATCAAGACAGGAACCTATCCATCGACGACCATTTAATTCTCTGGGTAAATAAGCATGTGAAGTAATACAGAAATGGATTTCATAATCTGGCGAATCATGTTTTGGAAAGCAGATTTTTTGACATACACATTAATATGTGTACGTAGTTTTTCGAATAGTCGGCCAAACATGTCATAGGCGGTTCTATTTGTTAATATGAACCTTTCTCTCCGATGTCACTGCATTGGTAGGTATGGGTTGCGCACTAGGCGGCGACACCAGCAAGGTGGTCAGACATCGTGATGGGGTTCCGTCGACGTCCAAGAAGAACTGGCATAGTCCCCAGAGATGCTTTGATAGAAAAACACCTTTTGACCAGCTTCTAAGAAAAAATCTGCTGAATTTCTTAGTGATTCAGTATAAAATATCGACCTCAGCCGAATATGAAAGGTCAGACGCTCTTTTTTAATCAGTATAAGAATTTTACTATACCTTGTTCTATGTTCTACTTTAAAACGCAAGTTTCGTTTGCATTTTTTCCCCAACGTTTTTCTTTCTACAAAGTTTGTGGTGAATTTACACCAGAAAAAAAGGATCACGGCGTTGATCTATCCTTAAGGGATGCGCCATACCTTCATTTCATTAAGCATCGTTGAAGGTGATTGAACGCATATCTGGCCTTCACAATGAGTTGGGGTGGCCTACTGATGTATCGAGCTAATGCTGCTATCTTCCCAGAGAAGTCCGTTACCAATTTACCAACCACGGAACGATGGAATGCTTGGTGGACGGGTGAGTGGGGATCGATTCCATGTGTATTGCGGAGCTCCTCCGACCACCGCGCCATACGCGTCCTTTTACCTGATATTGTATGAAGAAAGTTTTCAAAAAAAAAGGTTTCGCACGTTTTTTTGTACTGGTAAAAACTAGGACGTAAATCCGCTGAGACGGATAGAAATTTCAACATTGTATTGGCCAAGTAACCCTTTGTGGTCAAACGTTGAAACGTTAGTTTTAAAGGCTCTACGACGAAGATGAGATTTCCGAAGTTAATGAGGTATGTAACAGTCTGTTGCTATCGACGATGATTATTTAAAACTTTAATCCACAGTGGACGACAGGAACTGATTGCAATTCATAAATAGCTAGAAATATTTCTTTGCCTTTCAGCTTTAAATAAATGTATCTCACGCCGTAGTGAACTTTATCAGTTGGGATAAGAATCATTAGCAGTTAATTTTCTTACCAGCAAAATACAGACGTATTGCTCTATCACGATATAAGTTTGATTTTGTGGAGTACAGAAAATATGTGAGTAGCGAAGAAGCGTCCTCTAATGCTTGTTGCGTCGTCCTCGAGTGGTCGATCAACTAATTGCAACTACCAGACGAATCGCTGTTGTCCCTGAAGAATGCGAGTTCCAACGCAACATATTTCATTTTCGCAAAAGCTAGCAAAAATTTGCGGTATGAAAGTAGTGGATCTCTCTCAAAGAGGGATCCCTCGCTAGGTAGTTGCGGGGAAACAAGGCATGTTATCTGACGAAAGGCTAACATTCCGAGTGAGATGCTTCTTGAAGTTGAAGTAGATGTGGATCAATAACGGCTTTGACAATGAACAAGAACTCTCGGTGACTGAATTTCTCGGTATGTCAAACTCAGAGCAGGAAGACCACCTATCCGATGGTCACAGTCCTTTATAGACACCCCATGAGAAAAATGTGACGCTTAGAGAATCATAAAGTAAGCAAAACTCACTGGATTACTTGAACGCGACAAGGAGAAATGAAAAACTTGCTGGGACCAGCTCGACTCACTCGACGATCATCGGGACGACAGGTGTTACACTGGATGGAAAACTGGAAGAACTGGAACCATTTTGTTATTTTTTATTTTATATGATCTGTCTTCACGAGTACTGCGTGCATCTCAGCACTTCTCACATTCGATTCGTTCCCACCCATCCACCATCTCCTAACTTTTACGTGTGGCTTCGGCTGCTGCTTGAGGATATTCTTTTTATCTTGAATATCGTAGAGTGTTGGTCGGATAATTCTTTTTGGAGTCCTGAGATAACCCAGCTAGTGTTCCACTTCGATTACAGAGAGTGATTTTTTCCCAGACGAGTGCAGTACCAGTTTCCCGATCTTAGAGGGATGAGAGGTGAGCCTGCGCTCGAATCAAATCTGGACCGCTGTCGTGGTTATCGGAATCACTGCCACTGTTTTTTCTACAAAAAATGCTTAAAGCGAGAATTTAAAAAGGTGAATCAAACAGAAGTTATCATTACGAGACTAGTCTTGCACTTCTTTGTGCAACCACTAGGATCCATTTCTTAATAGCACTTTAGCATACAACAATTGCTGATGTTTAGCATGTTTGGTCAAATACGATACATTTAAATACTTTTGGAGGCAGTATCTCGCAAGACCGACTTCGTTTTAATCCCGACATCTATCAATAACCCGCTTTTCTTGAAAAGCACAAACGAGGTCGCCACTGTACTACTTATATATTCACGAAAAACTGACGTCTTGTCGGAGTTCGCCTTCTTCAGACCATCTAAAGGTAAATAAAGTAAACTGTATCCCAGTCATCCATACATCTCCAAAACCTTAACGGAAAAACTACAATACCTAACTTTCGGAAGTTAAAGATGATAAGAAGTAGGTTCCGATTACTTTCTTGGATTATTGAGCTAACACGAGATTGACAAAGATGTCTATTCGGCTAACGTTTCGACACCTTTCTCTTCCTCAGAGCCGATGACCCGAGTCCATGGTCTCATGCAGGCGTCCTCTAAAGACGAAGACGTGGAAACGTTAGCCAAACAAACAGAATTTTCAAACTCGTATTAGTTGAATAATCTAAGAAGCTATTGATTATTAACGCCGACGTTAAATGACGGTCGATTTAGAGAATAGGTTGTGATTACTTCTCAATACACAACAGATGGGATCAGAAGGAACGATTCCTGGTAAAACTTCGAGTTGATAGACTATAATCAGTCGGAACCTCGCAACGGATTACTGTCTCTTCGCGGCTGGGAGGTGTTCCTGGGTGTCGGACTGCGATGTACAGCAGGATTTATCCCTGGCAGGGTCTCTCAAGCTAAAAAGGAGTCCGGTGTTCCCAGTAGGAAGCCCGGCTAAGAATAAGTCAATACTAAGATACACCAGCGTCCTAGTATCAAACTAGTCGAATGGTAGAAAATCTACTTCTGATGCACAACGACGGCGACTGCCTGTGTTGGTGAGGACCTGGGCAGACTTTGGCCTGGCCTTGACCTTGGGACTCCAGGGAACCATGATGGCTAAGCCAGCAAAACTCCAAAAAACTGAAATTATCCTGGAGCCCGCACAACCGGTGAAGACAGGGCATCCAAGTAATCCATCGAAAGCTTTCTTTCCTTCTATGGTTGTTATACTATGGGATTTCTTACACTAATTGAATAAAAATTACAAAGCCTAAGGAATGGAAGGTTTTTGGCATTGGTTGAGTTTCCTTCTGTGACCAATTGAGTTTTCCTTCGGATTTGACCACTGAAGAAGTTGATGGGCCACACTGTACTGGTCAAAATATTCAATTGCGGACAAAACAATTCCACTTACGACATGGCGCACAGAATTTTTTGGCGCCAGTTCTTTTGCGACGGCACTGTTCTGAGCTGTGGTCATTGATAGTTTATCGTTCCCTATCGTAGATATAATTTCCAGTTCCCTCCGTATGTCAGCGGACCCTCAACACTTCAATCCATCACCCAGTCGTTCGGACATGCCGCCCGTATCCCACATTGTTCGCAGTCGTTCGTCAGTCGTGAAACACTCCAGCTTTTCGGCGGTAATATCTTCTTTCACCCACTAAGAGAGTAGATTGCTCAGTATCTGGGAGAACTTGGGTGTTTTTCCTTTTATTTCAGAGAGGAGAATATTCAAACCAGGGAATTCTACCTTCTCTTCGTCGTTTATCTTCGTTACCAGCGGACTTTTGTTGTTCGATTTGTATGAATGTCTTCACAAAGGTTCTTTTTGCCTAAATAACTATTTTATACACCAGTCATAGTCATATTTTTTCCTTCACATATCTACTTTGTTGTGGTCCGGCAAGTGACTGCAAGAGCAGCTTATATGAACTAATTTTATACTTAAGTACCTGGAATGCTTTCATTCTATTCTTTTACTAGCTTAGGATCGTCAGAAGAATGGTGTGGAATTTACTTCCTGGTTTTATTTACTCACAGCCTAACTATAACTCGAAATTTAGCCCTCCATGTTGTCATGCGGGCACTCATTCTGTGCTGGATGCATCCAACATTGGTTGAGTGAGAATATTTCCTGCCCCACTTGCCGCACTGACACCCAAGTGCCAATTCGAAATATCGCGCTCGAACAAGTATGACTTGTATTTTTGCATTATAGCGATATTCAATGACTTTTTTCTCTCACAGGTCGTAGAGGAGTACAAACTAAATCGACAACATCGCTCGCGGCCTTCAAGGCCTTCAGTACCATGTGAAGACGAATGCTCGAATGTGAGTTCTGAATTATAGTAGTTGGTACGAATTTTCGACATTGGGTATAATCAGTTACCCCTAGAAATATGCTTCAATATTGCGACGACAGTGCGTAAGAGAGAGTCGAAGGCGAAGTCGTCTTTTCGTGGTGGGACCGCCAGTAATTGTTGATGGGTATGTGGTTTTTTTCTCTACCCATTTATATTTGACTTAAGATCCGGCGAATATTATTGGGATATTGGCAAGGAGACAATTGTGTTTAGTTTTAATCGACTTACGTCATATGTAGGACGCGTGTGGCACAATAGTTGAAGGCGCACTGCAATACACATGGAATTGATCTCCGCGACGAGGCTCACCAGGCCTTCCACCCCTCCAACGTCGGCGAATTGGCAGAAGAGTTGCCCGTGGGGATAGCAGCACTGGCTCGGTACATCAGTAGGCTACCGCGAGTCATTGTAAAGGCCAGATATGCATTCATTTACCTCCAACGATGGTGAAGTCGAATGTATGGCGCATCCCGCAGGGATTGTTCAACGCCGAGAGCTTTATGCTTTGTTTTTTTTTGCGTCATTGAACATCGTGTGCGTCACTGTTAATTGTTACACCTGGTGTTATAAAAACTGCTCCTCTTCTGTGAAGCAAAAAGAAGAGCCGATCTTCCCGCTAAAGGAATAGGCATAAGAACTTAAAATAGCTGTAAACAACTTTGAGATGATTTTTTAAGGCTGAATACTTTTAATAGAGTGCTACTGGGATCGTTCCTCCCAGCGGTTTACCGCCTCGTGGCTAGTCCCTCGTTCCTGGGGGTTGGGCTGCGGTGTACAGCGGGTAATCATCCCTCGAACAGCGGCTTCCAGACTGAGAAGGAGTCCGCCGTTTTCATCAAGAAGTCCAGCTAGGAGTAAACCAGAACTAGGACCCACCACCGTCCTGATATCAAGCTAGTCGCATGGCGGCAAATCCCACTCTAATCCACAAGGGTGGAGACTGCCGGTGCCGGGGAGCCGCAATGGCTAAACCAGAAAATTTCCATAGAATGGGTATTGTGCTGGAGCCCGCACAACCAGCGAAGACGAGCCGTCCAAATGTCCAAGTGTTCAAGTGCTACGATCGTTCCATGCATATTACTAGATTTGATTATACACCAAACTTTAACTATCATCTTAGTCTGTTAACCTGTTGTAGTATGAAACTGTTGTATTTCTGGTTAATCAAGACTTCTCAAGTGTTGATGTTAAAAGTATTGCAGCCCTGGATCTTTACTGGATCCGCTTCCCACGTCTAATCGTGAAGACAGTTGCAGGTCTTCGAGCCCTTTACCGCGAGCCAATTCGAATACCAGTGAAGAACGTATGTATTTAGGCGAATTGCTTGATTCCTTGTCAGCTGACATCTTAAACACTAGCATCGTTTTGTTCAATTTTCACAGATTCTGCTCCGTACGATCAGGTTTCGAAATCACGTCGTCCAGGTTGTAGCTCTCCGTGTTATAACTCAGACAGCCTGGAAGGGACTCCATCAAATGATTTCAATGTTAGTCCTGCTTTTTGGAATATAAAATTTATACTCTTATTCACTTTGTAGTGGGTCGTATTCAGCTGAGTATTCAGGAGTTCTGAACATTGGGCTATTACAACTTCACGGTTCCCTCGTAGGTTTTTGGTTCGCTTTCTGCTATTTCTAGGACTTCTATATATTATCTTTTCATGTGATTTCTTTAGCAAATAAAGCAGTTTGTTGTGCTTAGTTCGTTACTTTGGTACGAAATTGGGGTGGAGAGTTTCGGATGACGCGTATCGATTTTGTTGTATTCCACAACCTTGTTTCTTTTACAGTGCAAACTTTTCGCTATTCCTTTCGTGTTAAATAGTCAGGCTTCCTACTTCAAGATATAGTTTCGGTCATACTGGCATGTTTCGAAAATGCCTGTTTCCTATCTATTATAGTATGTTTTAAAAAACCTTCAGAGTGGGTTTATTCGCCTCTGCATACCACTTTTTGATTCATTTGTTAGTGTACAAATGGAGTGAGATGTGATTTTGCTTGTGCATAATGCGCCAGAATTGCAGATTCCTCATCTATTGAAATCAATAACTTCAAAATTATTTGTTATTCTTTCCTTTCCAATATTCATTATCAGTCACATATCGCCCTAAATGGTTGAGCAATCTAGATATACTCTAGTATCTCATAAAACTTAAGAGCTGGCAGCACTGGGGCTGAACAGTTGCTGAGTACTTCCAACCACACAGCCGAAAGCGTCGATATTTTGAAAAGAATGCACATGAAGGTATTGGGAGAATATAGAAAAAACAATGGTGAAATCCTAGAGATTACATATATATGTATATGTATGTATGTAAGTATATATGTATATGCATATACGTACAAATAACACGCTATCACTTTTTCCAAGGGCTAGCGCGTTCACCACCACACCATACGGGTCCTTCGTTTCGATTTTCTCTGAACCTTGTTATTGACCTATAGTTGCTATCAGCAATGAATACAGAAGGCGGTGAATAACATATTTAATATTTTTAGCGTGCCTCATTCTTTCGCAGAAGTATCTGTGCAATCCGCAAGTCGGTTGGGCGTCGTCCGCTTAAAAAGGATATATCTGGTTTTGAGATTAAACGTTTACTTTTTCGTTTTTGTCGCCAATGTTTAAATACCTAGGAATATCGGGGTGTTCACCTTACCTGCACGATGAAGCAAGACCATCGTCAGTTGATGAAAATGTGAGAGAAGCTGGTTCACCTTGTGAAGGTTTGTCAGTCAGTGCTCACTCTAAGTTTGTATGATTCATTATGCCAAGTGGATAATGAGGAACTTTTTCAGAAGCGTCGAGAACGAAGAGATTCATGTGGAAGAAATTTTTCCCCTTCAAACTGAAGAAAGGCGAGTTTCTTGCAAGCGGTGAGGTTGTCTCCACATGTACACATGTGTGATAATGTGATAACTTCAGCACTGCATTTTTGCTTACTGTTAATGACAAATGGTCAGTCTATAGTTAAATGTTCAAAAGTGTGTTAAACTTTTATTTAATTTGGAGTTTATTTCACTGAACTTTGTTTATCAAGTGCTCTTATTCCACTTATTCACGTAAGGTTTTTGTGCATAGTGACGTCAAAACGGAATCCCATATTCTTCCACATTATAGGTTTCAAGAAGGCTTTTCAGTACGTCCCTCAAGCAGCAGTGAAAAATATGATATTTCCACTTGCGGTCCAGTGTGTGTGTATTCCGGATTTGGTCGGACATTTGAGAGGATCAATCCTGGCGAAGAAATTGCAATCACAGTTTTTGGCAGGCGAGGTGTCGGCAAAACATCATTGGTGCGCAAATATTGAATCCTTCGTTACTTTTAAGTTCTTTCAAATTAAAACGCTTTACTATTTCGGAAAACGAGAGCGTTGAGTATTTTCCAGCCAGCATAATTTTTTCTTTTGTCCTATATAAACCTTTTTAAAGCTGCTGCTACGGCTAAGTGCCACTCCTTATCCTCTATCCCCTTTGTTCAGGTTGTTTTTCAATCGTTTTTCCTTGAATAACCTGATGCAGTTATTGTGCATATTCTGTACCTTTTATATTCGATTCATTTCCTATCACCCTTTATCCACGAAAACGTTCGGATCTAATGTGGGTCTGATGCTTGAAGATTTGTGGTTTTCTTCAAAATTTCGTTGAGTGCTGTTCAAGTCAACTTTTCCATTCCTGAGCTAGCTGTGCTATGGCACCCCTAGAGCTTTGAATCGGAGTGAGCTTCTCAAGCAGGTCTGCTCCAAGTTTCCCGTTCCATCACTGTTAAGGAACTTCGTTGGCGCTGGCTGGTCAGAAGAATGCCTGGTGCGTATTGAACAGCATTGTTACCGTTTGTGTACCCGCAACAAATTCTATTTATTTAGATTCAAGATGCTACCACTAGCCTTTCGTTTAGCGTAGAAGTAATATTCGCGTTCAATTTTTTTTTTTATGTGCATATAAATGTGGGAATAACGCTACGGTTATGGGCGGGCGTGGCGCAGTGGTTGGAGGTGCCGCTGCGAACACACCGGGAGTCGATCTCCGCGTCCATGGCCCACGAAGCCTTCCACCCCTCTAAGGTCGGCAAATTGGTACCAGACTTGTCTGGGAGGATAACAGCACTGGCTCGTTACATCGGTAGGCCACAGCGAGTAATTGTAAAGGCTAGGCATGCATTCAGTCATCTCCAACGATGCTTAATGAGTCGAATGCATGGCGCATCCCTCAGGGATTGACCAACGCCGAAAGCTCTATCCGTTTTAACGTTGCGGTAGTGGCTGTAAATATTAATGCTGCATTTACGGACAGTTTCGCTTAACGTTTGGTCAACGAAGGGGTATTTGTAGTGCAGTGGTCACAGACGCCCCACAATAGACATGGTGTCGATTCTCGCGCCCTAGATTCATAGTCTTCTATCCCTCCTAATCGGCAAATTGCTACAAGACTTGTCTGGGGGGAAAGCAGCACTGGCTCCATACATCAGTAAGCCACCGCGAGTTATTGTAAAGGCTAGATATGCATTCATTCTTCCCAAACGATGCTCAGTGAAGTTGAATGCAAGGCGCATCTCTCAAGGATTGATCATCGCCAAGAGCTTTATCCTTTATTTTTATCTAAAGTGAACGATGCTTGTTTTTTTTTTACTAGTTAACGATGGTACAATAATATTAAAGGGGAAACCTAACAATTCCTTTTCGATAACTAGAATATATGAGGTGTTTGGAACTCATAGGAAAACCTTTGACTTATTTCTCTAAACAAATATAATTTCTATAAAGTATCGTTTTTAAAACTCAGTTTAGAATTTTTAAGGGGCCAAAAGCAACAAAATTTGAATCTCCAAATGTTCAGCTCCAGGCTATCAGTTGCAGCATCATTGCAGTAAATATCCTTAGTTATTTCGATAAGTTTGATTCTAGAGGTAAAAACCTCGCAAGTGAAAACACTGGGGCGAACCATCAGTGTCGTTGAAGCCGGTGTATCAAAGGCGTATGTCAATCGGTAGACTCTCGGCGAAGGGTAATAAAGAGACAGTTTTGATCGTATCTTTTTTTTTTGAGCAAACGCGAGGTGTTATTGTTCTTTGTTCACGATTAAGCTGACGTTTCGGCGAATTTCGCCTTCTTC